CAAAAGCGGTTTCATCCTGGTATCTGCAACTTTCATAATCCCATTAATTATAATGCTTTCAGATTGAACATAGCACTATTCAGGGAAAACAATGGGTATAAACAAACTTTACCGTTCCCTTCTCTGTCAATTTTCTCCAAAGACAATGCATGTTTAAAAAGCAATTTCTGGCCAGGCATGCTGGTTCACACCTGTAATCCCAGCACTTTGGGAGGCTGAGGTGGGAGGATCATTTGAGGCCAAGAGTTCAAGACCAGCCCAGGCAAGATGATAAGACCCCACCTCTACAAAAAATTAGCTGGGCATGGTGGTGCACACCTGTGGTCCTAGCTACTCCACCCGCCTCAGTCTCCCAAAGTGTTGGGATTACCAGCGTAAGCCACTGCATCTAGCTCTAAAATATAAATTTATAAAGTCAACTAGAATTAAATATTTAGAGAATTATCCTATTTCCTACTCTAAATGTGTGGTTGGGTGCAGTGGCTCATGCCTATAATCCCAACACTCTGGGAGGCCAAGGTGGGCAGATTACCTGAGCTCACTAGTTCGAGACCAGCCTGGGCAACATGGCAAACCTCATATCTACCAAAAAATACAAAAATTAGCCGGGTATGGTGGCGCGGACCTGTGATCCCACCTACTTGGGGGGCTAAGGCAGGAGAATCATTTGAATTTGTGAGACGGAGGCTGCAGTGAGCCAAGATCGTATCACTGCACTACAGCCTGGAAATCAGAGCAAGACTCTGCCTCAAAAAAAAATTTTTTAAGTGTAAATACACCAGGTGTGGTAGCTCACACCTGTAATCCTAACACTTTGGGAGGCTGAGGCAAGAGGATCATTTGAACCCAAGAGTTCAAGACCAGTCAGGGCAACATAGTAAGACCCCCATCTCTAATAAAAATAAAAATTTAAAAAAAAAAAAAAAAAAAAGTAAAAATGATTTGTTAGATTTGAGGAGAAAGAGATGACATAGCTTTTTTGTTTTTTTTTTTTTTAAGCAATGAGACCTTGCTGGGTTACCCAGGCTGGAGTGCAGTGGCATAATCATGGCTCACTGCAGTCCTAAACTCCTGGGCTCTAGTGATCCTCCCATCTCAGCGTCTGCAGTAACTGGGACTACAGGCATGTTCCACCACATCTAGCTAAGTTTGTGTTTAAATTTTTCTGTCGCGATAGGGTCTTGCTATGTTGCCCAGGCTAGTCTCCAACTCCTGGCCTCTAGCGATTCTTCTGCCTAATTTTCCAAAGTGCTGGAATCAGGCTTGACCCACTGTGCCCAGCCCTGATATAGCATTTCATAGTTAAGATTCTGAGCTCTGGAATTGGACAGACCTTCATTTGAATCCCAGTTGTTCCACGGCCACAGTAATTAACCCAGCTGAGCCTCAGCTTCTCCTTGTGGAATATGAGGCTCCACTATAAGAGTCAAAGGAAATGCTGTGAAGAGTGAATTCCATGGTGTACAACAGTTCTCAGCATATACTAAAGGCTTAATAAATGTTAGCCATAACATCTTATCATCATGCTTTCACGGTTTCAACACTCTAATGCCTTTTTTTTTTTTGAGATGGAGTCTCGTACCATCTCCCAGGCTGGAGTGCAGTGGCGCGATCTCGGCTCACTGCAACCTCTGCCTCCTGGGTTCAAGCAATTCTCCTGCCTCAGCCTCCCGAGTAGCTGGGATTGCAGGTGCCCGCCACCATGCCCAGCTAATTTTTTATATTTTTTTTTTTTAGCAGAGACAGGGTTTTACCATGTTGGCCAGGCTGGTCTCGAACTCCTGACTTCGTGATTCACCTGCCTCGGCCTCCTAAAGTGCTGGGATTACAGGCGTGACCCACCGCGCCCAGCCTCTAATGTCTATTATTATGTTGTCATATCGACAAACATATGCTAGCTCTTTTAAGATCAAGGCGTGAGGTGTAAAGACATGAAAAGCACTAAGCTCTTGACCTCAAAGAGCTTCTCGGCTCTACCACTGCCATCATCTATCAACTGAACCACAACAATAGTCTCCAAACCAGTCTCTGTGCTTCCAGGCTTATCACTTCCAATCCATGCTCCTTCCAGCCAAAGGGCTCTTTCCAAAAGCAAATCAGGACATGATATTTCCATTTCTGGACATCTTCCCTACTGCCCGTAAAATTAAGTCTGCACTCTTTAACACAGTAAATATAAGGTCTGGTCTCTTCTGCCACAGAAGCCTCTTTCATCATTTGCCTCCTGCCCTCAGAACTCCCCCATGCTAAGCTTCAGCTATTCTGAAATATTTCTAGTTCCTCAACCTGGCCTGCTCTCTCTCAGTATGGGGTCTCTGGACAAGCTGCCCCTGCCCAGGGGCCACATCCCTATTCTTCCACCTGACTGACGCCCTGTAGACTTTTAGAACCTCATTACAGATGTCACCTCCTCCTGGAAGCTTTCTCTGACCAACATCTCCCAAAACAGGGTAAAGGCACCTCTGAGCTCACTCCTGTCCTGGCATGGAGCTATCCTGGCACCTATTAATAGAAGAGCAAGTATCTGTCAATATGCCTTCTTCACTGTAAGGTGAAAGTAGGCACTGCGGCTTGTTCATCACCAGACCCTCATCAGAGAGCATACAATCTGGCATATGGTGGACGCTTAGTGTTTGCTGTAAAAAGAAGTTAATGGCAGCCGGGTGAGGTGGCTCACGCCTATAATTCCAGCACTTTGGGAGGCCAAGGCAGGCCGATTACCTGAGGTCGGGAGTTTGAGACCAGATCAGCCCGACCAACATGGAGAAACCCCGTCTCTACTAAAAATACAAAATTAGCCAGGCGTGATGGTGCATGCCTGTAATCCCAGCTACTCAGGAGGCTGAGGCAGGAGAATTGCTTGAACCCAGGAGGCGGAGGTCGCAGTGAGCTGAGATCACGCCACTGCACTCTAGCCTGGGCAACAAAAGCGAAACTCCATCTCCAAAAAAAAAAAAAAAAAAAAAAAAAGTTAATGGACCAAGTGCAACAAGAGCTATGATTCAGTGCATGCTTTGGTCACAGAAGAACTCTATCCCAGTCAAAGTGCATTTAAAGTGCTTTGTTATCACTCAAGTTTGGTTTTAGAGGAGACGAATGACTACTCCAATCTCTGGCTTACCCAGTAAAAGACTACAAGCCCTTTGGCCAACTTACATGGGAGCCATCATTTGAGTGAACAAGATTCAGATAAGGAAGCAATAGAAGAGGTTGAGCCCAATTCTGGATACTGATTAGGAGATAATCTGCAGGCAATAGGGATTCATGAATGGCTTTTGAGTCAAAGGGTAACATGGCCATAGCTGTTGTTTTTTTTTTTTTTTAGACAGACTCTTGTTCTATCACCCAGGCTGGAGTGCGATGGCATGATCTCAGCTCACTGCAACCTCCGCCTCCCTGGTTCAAGTGATTCTTCCGCCTCAGCGTCCCTAGTAGCTGGGATTACAGGCGTGTGCCACCACGCCCAGCTAATTTTTGTATTTTTGTAGAGACGGGGTTTCACCACGTTGGCCAGGCTGGTCTTGAACTCCTGACCTCATGATCTGCCTGCCTTGGCCTCTCAAAGTGCTGGGATTACAGGCGTGAGCCACCACACCCAGCCTAGCTGTGCTTTAATAACATCACTTGGGAAACAGAAGGTGGACTAGAGGGTAAAAGACAAAGAGCAGGTAGGGAGCTGGATAAGAAGGAAGGTCAAAGGGTCCAGGCATACTATAGTGACAATGACTGAAATATGATTACCTGTGCAACAGTCCTGCTACAGGTGGGAAAACGGAGGAACAATAAAGGAATATTAACAGCACTTTTTATTGTTGTAATGCTTACAATTTCCAAAGTGCTTCATTTATAACTGTGATTCTCAAGCCTAGTTACATCTGAAGAGGTTTTTAAAAATACCAATTTCTAGGCCGGGCACAGTGGCTCACATCTGTAATCCCAGCACTTTGGGAGGCCGAGGCAGGCGGATCAACTGAGGTCAGGAGTTCAAGATCAGCCTGGTCAACATAGCAAAACCTCGTCTCTACTAAAAATACAGAATTAGCCGGGTGTGGTAGCACGCACCTGTAATCCCAGCTACTGGGGTGGCTGAGGCAGAAGAATCACTTGAACCTGGGAGGCAGAGGTTGCAGTGAGTCGAGATTGTGCCACTGAAGTCTAGCCTGGGTGACAGAGTAAGGCTCTGTCTAGGCCTTACCCCAATTCAATTAAATCAGAATGTAAATTCCACAGTAATTTTGTGGGCAGGAATTTTGGCTGTTTTGCTCACAGTCAGTGCCTGGCACATGCATGGTGCTCAGGAAGTATTTGTTGAATGAATGAATATACCATTATTAACTGAGATCCAAGGAACACACCAAGCTCCTGATCCCAGGAGCTTAGATTTTTTTCACAATAAGGACACCTTTCCTATTTCTAAAGCACTACTTATAAAAATATCTCAAGAAAACAATTAGAAGTTACTCAATGTGTACCGTGAGTGAGGGGGAAAAAAGGTAGGCAGTGTCGCCAGGTGCGGTGGCTCACGCCTGTAATCCCAGCACTTTGGGAGGCCGAGATGGGCGGATCACGAGGTCAGAAGATCGAGACCATTCTGGCTAAAGTGGTGAAACCCCGTCTCTACTAAAAATACAAAAAATTAGCCGGACGTGGTGGCGGGCGCCTGTAGTCCCAGCTACTCGGGAGGCTGAGGCAGGAGAATGGCGTGAACCAGGGAGGTGGAGCTTGCAGTGAGCCAAGATGGTGCCACTGCACTACAGCCTGGGCGATAGAGCGTGACTCTGTCTCAAAAAAAAAAAAAGGTAGGCAGTGTCTAGTGATGTGACAAGAAGAAATTAGTGGCCATGGGCACAGACAGGCTTAGGCAAGCTCTAACTCCTGTGAAATTTTGAGGTAATCATATTGTAAGGACTCAAGCACAATGAGAAAACAACTATATATTAACCAGCTACCCTACCCTGGATGTTTGAACAAAACCCAAAAACCCAAATGCACATACATACGTATTATTTTGTTCTGATACTTCAGGATTACTTTGATATATTTGTTCTGGCTTTGTACACAGTAATTCTTTGTTTGATATCTGAAAAACAGTGGCACATGGAAATGGATGAAACCCGTTGGGACAAACATCCAAAGAACTTTTTTTTTTTTTTTTTTTTGAGACGGAGTCTCGCTCTGTGGCCCAGGCTGGAGTGCAGTGGCCCGAACTCAGCTCACTGCAAGCTCCGCCTCCCGGGTTCACGCCATTCTCCTGCCTCAGCCTCCCGAGTAGCTGGGACTACAGGCGCCCGCCGCCTCGCCCGGCTAGTTTTTTTGTATTTTTTAGTAGAGACGGGGTTTCACCACTTTAGCCAGGATGGTCTCGATCTCCTGACCTCGTGATTCGCCCGTCTCGGCCTCCCAAAATGCTGGGATTACAGGCTTGAGCCACCGCGCCCGGCCTTTTTTTTTTTTTTTTTTTTTTTGAGACAGAGTGTCGCCCTGTCGCCCAGGCTGGAGTGCAGTGGTGTGATCTCGGCTCTCCGCAACAACCTCCACCTCCCGGGTTCAAATGATTGTCCTGCCTCAGCCTCCGGAGCAGCTGGGATTACAGGCTCACGCCTGGCCCCAAGGAACTATTTGGATAAGGAGGAGCCCTGAGTTTGTAGAATCATAAAAGTAGCATAGAATCCGGCCGGGCACAGCGGCTCACACCTGTGATCTCAGCAAAGGCGGGCAAATCACCAGGTCAGGAGTTTGAGATCAGCCTGCCCAACATAGTGAAACTCTGTCTCTATTAAAAACACAAAAGTTACCTGGGCGTGGTAGTGCATGCCTGTAATCCCAGCTACTCAGATGGCTGAGGCACGAGAATCCCTTGAACCCAGAAGGCAGAGGCTGCAGTAAGCCAAGACTGCAACACTGCACTTCAGCCTGGGCAACAGAGTGAGACTGTCTCAAAAAAAAAAAAAAAAGTCTCCAGTCATTGTCAAATATGGTGGGAGAGAAAGGGGGGAAAGGGCAAAATCACTCTTGTTTTAGAACCACTACCTTATCCAATGACTGTTCATTCACCCATCACTACTCAAAACTTTCTCTTCGTACTTCCAGATGTTTTCTTGTGGAGAAAAAAAAGCCTCTACTCCTCTGGTTTATCTGGCAACTCTCCAGAAAGTCTAATTGTGTAGCACAAGGGTAGAGTGTACTTAAAATTGTAAAAGTTTTTCCTCATACTATTCCAAAAAAAGCAGTTTTTATCTTTTCAGTGGTATTTGATGAAACTAAAACGCTTTCTCCAGATGTTACGAACCTCCCAGAGAGTTAACCCATAAACATTTACCTTATCTCCCACCCCAGGCACTGCGGATTACAGAAAATATCTGACACCCATTTTCCAGATCTGTTCAAGAAGTGTCTGTTGGGCATGGTGGCTCACTATTGTAATCCCATCACTTTGGGAGGTCGAGGTGGGAAGATCACTTGAGGCCAGGAGTTCCAGACCAGCGATGCCAACATGGTGAAACCCTGCCTCTACTAAAAATAGAAAAAATTAGCCGGGAGTGGGTGGTGCATGCCTGTAGACTCTGCTACTCGGGAGGCAGAGGCAGGAGAATCGCTTGAACCCAGGAGGCGGAGGTTGCAGTGAGCCGAGATCGCGCCACTGCACTCCAGCCTGGGTGACAGAACGAGACTGTGTCTCAGGACAAAAAAAAAAAAAAGGTGACTCATATAGTTCTTGTTTTTACAACCCGAATATCTGAATTCAGGTAAAATATTCTGCCTGACCAGTGCTACATGATAAGCCACGTACCTGCTCACTTCGCAGGGTCGCAGCACCCTTCTTACTACTATTTAGGCAATTTAGGTTTCTGACCGGGAAACCAGCGGAGCTGAGCGGGCGGCAAGAGGGGTGGGTTCAGGATGAGAAGTTGGGATGGGTGACGAAGGAGTAGAGAGTGAATCTTGGCTGAAAAGTAAGGAAAATAACTGTGAAGAAGAGATGACCCAGCTTGAAATAAAGCCTGAAGACCTCACCTCCCACTTGAGAGAGAGAAGCAGCTGAAAGCCATCAGCTTGCAGTCTGGGCTCTCAGACAGGGAACGTGAGGGGTTGAGACCAGATCTACGATTTCACACCCCTGTCTCGGCCCCTAGGCTCAGTGACCATTCATTCAAATTCTCAATAAAAAAAGGATTACCAGACCCTGCGCAGGGAACACATCTGGGAAAACAGCTGCAACCTCGGAGACCAGCACGGGACAAGCTATCTCTGGGCAATAAGGAACAATTAAAGAGAATCCCAGGAACCAGGTAACCAATCGCCAGAAGCCCTCCGCCCTCATGATCCATTGGGTCAAGGCCCCACTGCCGCCTCGTATCGCCAGCCTCCAGTCCTGCCTCCACGACGCACCCTTCCCCAAGGCTGGCCGGGTCTGGATGTCGCCATCCCCTATTCCGAGCTACAGACCTCGCAGCTGAACTCTTAAAGAGAACCTCCCTTCTTCCTCACGGTGCTGCAGCTCCGTACAATGTACTGAGCCTCGCCAGCCACCGTAGGCGAGGTCGCGGCGCGTCCGTGACGTCACTTGTGTGCGCTTCTGCCGCACTAAGGGAAACATGGCTCTATCGCGGCCAGTGAGGCTCTTTTCCCTCGTGGCTCGGTTGATCCTGGCGCCCCGACGAGGTCTCACGGTCCGCAGTCCCGACGAACCCCTGCCGGTGGTACGCATTCCAGTGGCTCTACAGCGGCAGTTGGAACAACGGCAGAGCAGGCAGCGGAACCTCCCGAGGCCGGTGCTGGTTCGACCTGGACGGCTGCTGGTCTCGGCGCGGCGGCCGGAGTTCAACCAGCCGGCGCGCCTCACACTGGGTCGTTGGGAGAGCGCGCCGCTAGCCTCTCAAGGCTGGAAGAGTCGACGCGCGCGTCGGGACCACTTCTCCATCGAGCGAGCGCAACAGGAGGCGCCAGCTGTGCAAAAGCTCTCGTCCGAGGGTAACTTTGCTGACCTGGGCCTGGAGCCCCCTGTGCTGCACGCACTACAAGAGGTTGCGCCTGAAGTCGTTCAGCCCACAACCGTGCAGTCTAACACTATCCCCCAACTACTTCGCGGCCGCCACGTCCTTTGCGCCGCAGAAACCGGCAGTGGCAAGACTCTTAGCTACCTCCTGCCGCTGTTTCAACGGCTCATGGGCCAGCCAAGCCTGGACTCCCTTCGTATCCCGGCTCCCCGAGGCCTAGTCCTTGTTCCTTCCCGAGAACTGGCCCAACAGGTGCGGGCTGTGGCCAAACCCTTGGGCCGCTCCTTGGGCCTGCTGGTGCGGGACCTGGAGGGAGGCCACGGCATGCGTAGGATCAGGATGCAATTGTCCAGACAACCTTCAGCAGATGTGCTAGTGGCCACTCCAGGGGCTCTGTGGAAGGCTCTGAAAAGTCGACTGATTAGTCTGGAGCAACTCTCGTTCTTGGTGTTGGATGAGGCAGACACACTGCTGGATGAAAGCTTCCTGGAACTGGTGGACTACATCTTAGAGAAGAGCCACATAGCAGACGGCCCAGCTGACTTGGAAGACCGCTTCAATCCCAAAGCTCAGTTAGTGCTGGTAGGAGCCACATTTCCTGAAGGTGTAGGCCAATTGCTGAATAAAGTCGCCAGCCCAGATGCTGTCACCACCATCACCAGCTCCAAGCTCCACTGTATCATGCCTCATGTGAAACAGACATTTCTGAGACTGAAGGGAGCAGATAAGGTAGCCGAGCTGGTGCACATTCTCAAGCATCATAACAGAGCAGAAAGGACTGGCCCCTCAGGAACTGTTCTGGTGTTCTGTAATAGCTCCAGCACTGTGAACTGGCTGGGATATATTCTGGATGACCACAAAATCCAACACCTAAGGTTGCAGGGGCAAATGCCAGCCTTAATGAGGGCAGGAATCTTCCAGTCCTTCCAGAAGAGCTCCCGAGACATACTTCTCTGCACAGACATAGCCTCTCGGGGCCTGGACAGCACTGGTGTGGAACTGGTTGTCAATTATGATTTCCCCCCAACGCTGCAAGATTACATCCACAGAGCAGGGAGAGTGGGCCGTGTGGGGAGCGAGGTTCCAGGCACCGTCATCAGTTTTGTGACCCATCCCTGGGATGTGAGCCTGGTTCAGAAGATTGAGCTGGCGGCTCGCCGAAGGAGAAGTCTTCCAGGACTAGTATCCTCGGTGAAAGAGCCTTTGCCGCAGCAACCTGATTTTGACAAATCTGATTAAAATGTGATGCTAGAACAGGGATATTTCCCAGTATCTTGGGTGGGTGATCACACTTGTGAGTGGGAGGCTCTGGGCTGCCGTCAGCGCCTTGAGGGTAGGATGAACTGCCATGTGACTTGGAAAGGTAAGATGCTAGCCAGCATTGGAGAAGAAGCTGCTGAGCATGGCTTTCTGTAGTCTTTCACAAGACACAAGTGGATTTTGACTTTGTATCATATCATGATTTCTAACAATAAATGATGTTTTTATGTGCCTCCCCTAAGAATATTTAGCACTGGGGCGGAATTCAGTAGTTTCTGAGGATTCATACCCCAGACTGCCACATCTAGGACAAAGGCTCTTTCAGTTGATGTTTTAATTTATAAACATTGAGTTTTTATTTCCTGCCCCCAAAAAGGGGAACCCATTAAGCCCCCAGGGAAAGGAAAGGAACTGTGACCAGCAGTAGACAGAGTTCTTCACTAACAGCGCCCAAGACAAACGGGCATCTTGGCGAAATCTCTCTGGAAGGTACCGGCAGGAAAGTAAAGGGTAGACTAACACAGAAGTTTTGGTTGTACTTCTATCCCAACTCGGTGGCCAAGAAAGTGGAGAGATGATTAAACTGTTTTAAAATGTATACATATATATATATATATATATATACACACACAAAAAAATTACAAAAATTAACCCGGCGTGGTGGCACATGCCTGTAGTCCCAGCTACTCGGGAGGCTGAGGCAGGAGAGTCACTTGAACCTGGGAGGCGGAGGGTGCAGTGAACGAAGATCATACCACTACACTCCAGCCTGGGGGACAGAGCAAGACTCTTATCTCAAAAGAAAAAAGCCGGGTGTGGTGGCTCACACCTGTAATCCCAGCACTTTGGGAGGCTGAGGCGGAAGGATCACCTAAGATCAGGAGTTTAAGACCAGCCTGGCAAACATGGCAAAACCCCATCTCTACTAAAAATACAAAAAATATTAGCTGAATGTGGTGGTGCACGCCTGAAATCCCAACTACTTGGGGGGCTGAGGCGCAAGAATGGCTTGAACCCGGGAGGCGGAGGTTTCGGTGAGCCAAGATTGCACCTCTGCACTCCAGCCTGGGTGACAGAGCCAATACCCTGTCTCAAAAAAAAAAAAAAAACAGAATCCTGAGCCCCACTCCAGATGGGATTAAGCTCTCTAAAGTTTGACCTGAGAATACTGTCTTTGTAAACTCCCCTGGGTGATACTCTGGCCCTCCTAAATCGATGAACCATTTGTCTATGCTGTACTGCCTTTCCCAGAGTCCCAGCAAATTCCTATAAGGCTGTGTACCCCCACAAGACCAGAGAGATGCTTCCGGACAAGTACTCTCTCCAGAGCGTTGGAGAATCTGAGTGATGTCTTGCTAGCCCTCACGCCAGAACAAACTTCCCAGGAACCGTACCCTTGATATTTTACCTCCTACCACTCCCTGCAGGCTGTCTGCTGTAATTAGCACCACACTAAAGCAACATATGAGAGAAGGTGCTGTGATTCTCAACCAGGGTGACCCAGTCTGCAAAGATCAGGCCGTCTCTACCTCCTGGGCATATCCCCTCTGCAATAAGCAATAACCCCACTAAATAAATGTCCCATGTTTGTTTTTTCAAGGCCAGTAACAGGTCATCTCTCTTTAGTAGGAAGTTCTTGGCCACACTGAACCAAAGGCTGCTCCTAGTATGGTCCTAATCAGGCTAAGGGCAGAGTTGCCTGTTTCTTTGAGTAGGACCAAATCACCTTTTTTATATGTAAAAAAAATGGACACAAGGTCTAGCTATGTTACCCAGGCTGGTCTCAAACTCCTGGGCTCAAGAGATACTCCTGCCTCCACCTTCCAAAGTGCTAGGATTACAGGCGTGAGTCACCATGCCTAGCCCAAATGACCTTTTGGTACCTCTTTACAGTGCTGACCTGGGCTGCTGCTGGGGGCTAAACCTCATCCTTTCATAGTGATGAGACTGTCATTGTTTGCCTATTTAAAGAGAGGGCAGTGTAATGATAAGGTTATGATTTTGTATTGTTACTTTTTTTTTTTTTTTTTTGAGACAGAGTCTTACTCTGTCACCCAGGCTGGAGTACGGTGGCACAATCTCGGCTCATTGCAACCTCTGCCTCCCAGGTTCAAGCAATTCTTGGGCCTCAGCCTCCTGAGTAGCTGGGATTACAAGTGCACATCAACATGCGCAGCTAGTTTTTATATTTTTAGTAGAGACAGGGTTTTGCCATGTTAGCCAGGCTGGCTGTGAACTCCTGGCCTCAAGTGACCCACCTGCCTCAGCCTCCCAAAGTGCTGGGATTACAGGCGTGAGCCAAGGCGCCTCGCCAGTCATTTGGGATTCTTATCTTGTCATGAATTTGTTTGAATTTCATGTTAAAATAGGTTCACCTGTAGACGTGGCATCTCACATCTATAATCCCAGCACTCTGGGATGCCAAGGCAGGAGGATCACTTGAGGCCAGGAGTTCCAGGTTACAGTGAGCTATGATGGTGCCACTGTACTCTAGCCTGGATGACAAAGTGAGACCCTGTTTCTGAAAAAAGAATAAATTTTAAAAATAGAACCATCATGCACACTTCAGACAGTCATTTGGGAGCCTCATTTTGCCTTAGAGCACATTTAACATACCTCCCAGTGTACATCACCTTTTTTTTTGCGGGGGGGGATGGAGTCTTGCTCTGTCGCCCAGGCTGGAGTGCAGTGGCACGATCTCGGCTCACTGCAAGCTCTGACTCCCAAGTTCACGCCATTCTCCTGCCTCAGCCTCCTGAGTAGCTGGGACTACAGGCGCCCGCCACCACTCTCGGCTAATTTTTTGTATTTTTAGTAGAGACGGGGTTTCACCATGTTAGCCAGGATGATCTCGATTGCCTGACCTCGTGATCCGCCCGCCTTGGCCTCCCAAAGTGCTGGGATTACTACCACCACACCACCTTTAAATGTAATGAGCTTGTCCTCACATTCTTTTTTTTTTTTTTTTTTTTTTTT